TCGAATAATAGACTAGAGAATCGAACAAATACACACGTGGACGTTTATGTTATTATAAAAGTCCGACGGTCGTCGCTGCTTAAAGTTATTAAACTAATCCTCAGAGTTATGACCAACCACATTTACTAGATATTTCGGATATTTATTTTGACATAGATGTTGAACTTATCTTCTGTCTCTTTTCGCCCTTTCCTTCCCCTTCTCTCCCCTCTTCTCCCTATAGAAAATCACCATCATTTTTGAATCGTCGTTTTCCCATTATATCATTTTCTTTTCTAAAATTGTTCATCATATGGTTATCACGATTGCGTTCCACGATATTTCAATGGCACTCTGAATTACTTTATCTCTCGTTTTCTCTTCCCTTAGACGAGAAGGAATAATAAGCGTAATCAAATACATCGTTTTAAACGAAACAAAAATGATGACTTCGAAAGATACGAGTCGAGTGAAATCACATATTGGTTACCACAAATTGGTAACGATAAAGATATTCAAATTTTACAGAAAAGAAAAGAATTATTTCCAACGTTTTTTTTTTTTTTTTTTTATTAAAATAGACATCAACGAAGTATCGGAGTCGTAATAAACGTATTATAATTTTATAAACAGACAGAGATGATTTTTCTTTTTTTTTTTTCATTATTATGAAAAATGTGCTAATTTGCTTAGTTTAAACTTCGTTAACGCGAGAAGCCATATATTTATATACGTATATATGTATGTGACGAATCATTTCTCGATAACGATTAGCATAAAAAAGTTTCGATGCGAAACACAGAATGAAAATACTTTCTGCCTTGAACTATTTTAAGTCTTTGCTTTGGTTTGTATAATATATAAATCTTCTTTTTGCTTTAATATCTTCCAATTATTCGTCTTAAAAAATAAGATCGACTAATATCTATCTCGACTAACAAGTTTTCCAAGTAAGATCAAATTATCGTTTACGAGAGTACGAGGATCTAAATAGATCTATTCGTCCAGTGTTTTTCAACCTTTTTCGATTTACAAACCCCTCTTTTGTAATATCCAGATAAGTTAAGATCCTTCCTTTCCTACACAAGGTAAGGAAAGCGAAGAAAAATTATCAATCTGCTCCATGGATAAGCTCGAGAGAAAAAGGAAGAATGTAATTACATTGAAAATAAATAAGCGTTAATCGTGGGTCCACGATCCAAAGAAGTTGAGAATCACTGTATTAGACAGATTTTTGATGCTTTAATGATGCGCATTAAAAATCGAGTAGAATGAAAGCTGTTCTAAAACTCCTGAAAAGGATCGAAATTGTTTATCGGCAATTTTATACAGTTTTTATTTAGTTTTTTTTTTTTTTTTTTTAAAGAATTAACCTAAAAAAAATTTGTCGACAACGACGACGAAGCTCAAAACGTTTTGCGATATTCGACTATGATATTCACCCTTCGTCTCACCGATTCCCCTGTAACAAGGTTTTTAATACTGTCTTAACCAGCATTGTCGACCGATGACCATATGCAGGATCGAATTTATGCGTGGTTATAAATATACGCAATTTGAAAAAATAAATTCTCGCGGAAAAATAGATCGATTTGAATTGCGAATCGTTCGTATTTAACGATATATTTATATATTTTAAAGAGATAATAGAGAATCCATACACCGTTACGTATAGGAATGTTAAATGTCAATATATTGTACATATTGTATAATAAAAAATTAGAAGTATTTGTATACGATAGTAATAGTAATTTTAATGTCAAATAAGCATACTCGACGAACACGATCTATCTTTTCAATTATTATATACGTTTAGATTAGTTATTATAATTTAAATAAGAAAATTTAATTATTGTGAAACGAAGGGTGAATGTTAATTCTATGCACTCTCGAAGGAAGCATAGCACAAGTGCGGCTAATTATAAAGATTTAGGATTACGTGTTTTTGGTCCGTGATGTATTAAACATTAACGACATTAATTAATTTATTCATCAAACGCGTCCTATCATTTAAACTTGTTGCTTGTTCATTCACCGCGTATGACAATTGCGTATAAAATATAGCAATAAGTACTTAAAATCAACGATCATCCATTTTTCATCGTCACCAACCTCGGCAAACTTTTCCATCATTCTCTCTCTCTCTCTCTCT